AGGGACCATGTATGTGTCAGTCAGTTCCAAGTTCGTTCCTGCTTCACGGGTTTCTTAATATGTGGGTGTCTTATTTGAATTGTGGTGCTTTATTCTGTCAAAATCATGTTACCGCTGTGAAAACAACTACTTTTATCTCCTGGAGTGGATTTTTAAACTGAATTTACAGTAGTAGTCACAATAAGATCAGATATTTCTCCTTTAAAACAGTGCTCTGAACTCTTTATTTTAATTCCGTGATTCTGATGGAAAAAAATCAGTTATTTCAGTTTGTTTACTTGGCTTTTTCTTTAAAGTAACAGTTTATAGAACTAGCACATTAACCATTCCACTTCACTTTTCATGTATGCCCAGGAAAATATGGAATAAAAAATTATCAAAATTATGGTAAATAATTATGTGATAAATGAAGGTGTGGTTTACACACACTGTATCTCTACAGTTGTACCTGTCTTCATAAAGTACCAGCTGACCCTGAGGTCAGTGCTCTGCCGGATCTGTCTCCTGTTTTCAGACAGTCCTGGGTTTAACGTCGATGTCAGCAAATGCGTGGGCTCGGTTACCTGTTCATAACTACCTTTCTTGAGAAACAAACTCAGTATTCAGTTACATACGTTTATTTGTCGAGCTTATTACTTGCTATTTCAAAGTAACAAGAAGGCTGTAGCTAGCTGTCACTTTATACCTTGCCCCATACCAGAGCTGTGCAGATGTGCTCTCTGCTCTGTCCGGACAGCTCAGCCACTTCACGTTGCTGAACCTGCAGTTTCCCACCAGCCCTGCCCGCTGGGGGGCCGGTGGCATCTCGTATCCCGCAGGCCATGGCTCGCCAAGGGGCTGGCTGGGGCATCAGTGCTTCTCCACACCTGAGCCAGGACGCCTGTGTGCACGTCCCTCTGTCACCAGGCTCCCTGCATGTGTCCCCGGCAGGGCGGGATGCCAGCACTGTGTCAGGGAAAGGGGGAATGGCAGTGCCACCTGCCTCTTGCATGTGTGTTAGTCGACCTGCGCACCACGTGTGCACCACGTGTGCACCTGGACCTTCTAGAATCTGGAGTCTCCAGCTCATTTTACTGCAGTGGTTAATAATAGTACTTTGAGGCTTTTTTAATTGCAAAGTATGGGGAATATGCTAAACAAATGAGACCTGATATGAGAGTTGTCTTTCTGGGTTCCCCTGCCTTCCACGGCAGGCTGGGGACGGCAAGGCTGTGGAACGGTTGTCTGCATTGTTCTCCGTTACATTTAACTGGCTAAATCTAGAAGAGAATAAGGTTGATAAACTGGTTTCTCACCCTGGTAGAAAGTGCTTTTTAAAAAGTTCAGACATAGCTGAGCTATGACAGAAGTGACTTCAGTGTATCACGACTCGAGAGTAAGTTATGTGCTCTAACACTGCTCGGTTTGCTCCTGGCCACTCAGGTTTCCAGCCCTGCAAGGGAGACTGGGTGGAGGCTGAGTACTGGATCCGGCCCGGCACGTGGAGCAGCGAGGCCGTGTCCGTGAAGCCGCTGAGGTACAAGCGCGTGGACAAGGTAGCGTGGCGACGAGCGGTTCTTCCCGTGGTTCTACGAGACCGGCTGTCGGGGATAATTTTCATGGCCCAGGATTTTCCTGGATGTGTTGGGAAGCAGAGATAAAGTTTAGTCTTGGCCAAAGAGGAGCCCGTTTTCTTACTGAAATGTTTTGTTTCCTTAAGGAAGTAGAGGCTAACGTAGAGTGCTGGCAGGATTAAGTCCACACTTAAGTGTTCTAAGGAGAAAGGCGTGTGTCGGAACTGGAGAAAGTGGGGCGGGAGGTGGGATGTGAGCCTCCTGGTAGCGGCTGATGTGGTTTGGGGAGAGGAGACTGGGAGCGAGGGGGGTGTTTGCATGAGGGGCACCAGCGTGGCTGTGCTGTAGCCCTCGACACAGCCCCTTCCGGCCCCTCAGCCCTAGCGCCAGGGCACCTTCCCGTGTGTGTCACCCTGCGGGTGTGGGTTCTCTGGAGAGCAGGGCTCCACCCCAGAGACCCAGCCTTGTCTGGGCCTTGGGGCGCTGGGCAGGCTGACACAGGGGCGTGCCTGCAGAGCTCACCAGGCACCTGCAGCACGTGCTTTTCCCTGACGTCCGGTCGCTGTGCCCACAGGTCTGCATCTCCAGCCTCTGTGGCAGGAACGGGGTGATGGAGGACAGCATCTTCTTCTCCTTGGACTCTCTGAAACTGCCAGACGGGTATATTCCCCGGAGAGGCGACGTCGTCAACACGGTGGTAGTGGAGAGCAGCCAGTCGTGCTACATCTGGAGGGCACTTTGTATAACCCCGGTGAAAAGGCGGTAATAAGAAAATGCTTTTCTTCTTTGGGAGGGAAAGGCTTGATTTAAGTGTATTCTGAAGAGTTACTTTAATAAGCTAGAAGAGGAGACATGCAGGTCCTGAGTCGTGGTTAGAAGAAGCCTTCTGGAGGTCGACCGAAGGTAGTGTTCGAGGGTCTCTCTTCATCCTTATGTTGGTGATTGATATTTTTGGTAGATTTTTATGTCTTTTGTTCCTTCACATTTTGGCATTTTTAAAAACACATTGAACATTAAAATTATTCATGTGCCATATCTGTGCTGCAGGGACACGCCTCCTACGCATGAGTCCGTAGAGCGTGATGGGGCATCCCCGAGCCCCTGTGCACACAGCAGCCGCAGGCCCCACCCCCTTCCCCACCTGCCTTTTCTCCTCCTCATTCACCACCAGTGAGCCACTCGCCCGTTTCCTTCTTTATGCTGTTGTTGTCTCACCCCCTCAGTAGCATGTGGGTTCTGTGTAGGGAAGGTGTTTGCTTTCCTCAGCCACCTCGGTGTCCGGGTGAAGACAGGCAGCCCGCGTGTGACCCAGGTGACAGGTGTGTGCAGACAGTGGGTGCCAGAACAGTGCTGCTGGGCAGGACACAGGACGGCTTGGCCTGCAAGGATCCTGCAGCCAGCCCTCATCCTGCTGGCAGATGCTCGTTTGGCCACTCAGTGCCTGGGTCCCCTTCCCCACGAGACCCTGCTTTGCTTTTGGAAAGTGCCTTGGAGCAGGGAAGCCAGACACATGGCCCTCACCTGCTCTCTGCACTGAAGGGCCACAGGAGTTCTGCCTTCAGCCCCATCTGCCAAGCCTGGTGTTGCCAGGAGGTAAGAGAGGCCCAGGCGTGCTGGGAACCTTCTCCTGTGTCAGCATCGGGAAGAGGCTGTGAATCCCCGTCTTGCATGGGGCTGGAAGCAAGGGCCCCGCGGTGTGGCCGTGGGCCGAGACTGCAGCATTCTTCGGTGGTGCGGTAGCGTGAACCACGTGCCACTTTAAGGAAGCACCCATGTCGTTAAACACACGCGTTCCTGACTCTTCTCTTTAGCCCAGAAATGATTGAAAAAGACCTGTTTGTGCCCAGCAGCCTTTCTGTGCTCTTCATCCTGGTCAGGCCTCCCCACCATGGGGAGAAGCTGTGGGGCGGAAGCCAGGGAAGCACTGTCTGCTCCTAGGCTTGCAGCCCCCATGCGGACCAGCCTGCTCCCCTGCACCCCTGACCCGGTGTCTGACCCATGGCACAAAGCAGATGGCGCAGAGTGAGCTTCTGCAGCCCTCCCAGACCCTGCGCCTCCTGGGGTCTTCCCAGGAACTAAGCAGCCTGTTCTGTGGGTGGGTGAGTCACAAACCTGGCAGTAACTTCCTTCCTCCTTCAAAGTCCTCTCCCCCCGCATCTGCTAGCAGAAGTTGTCAGCTGACGGCAAGGGTCTGACTGCTCCTTGTGCTCCTGCCCCTGCCCAGGAGCTCCAGGGAGGGGGTTATGTGTGCACCTGGTTGTGTGGGCCCCTTTGGAGGAGAACAGAGGGCTGGGCAAGTGCCAGCCCAAGGGGTGCCGTCACCCCTGTGTGCTGGGAACCTCACGGGGTTGTGGGCAGGGCCAGGTTTGCGGGGCTCATCCTAGAGGCCCCGTGTTCCCAGTGGAGCCGTAGGAACAGGCTAACCTTCTGGGAGAGCTGGGGACAAGAGCGTGGACACCTGAGCCTGCTTCACAGTAGTGTCAGTAGGAGAAAGAGAGGTAAACGGGTCCGTTCTGAGGGGGCAGTAAAAGCTTCTTATTTTCCAAAGAGAAACTTCTCATCTGATCTCAAATATGTCAAAGCAGCAAAACTCTTTCTAAAGGCAAGTTTAGTAAGTTTTGTGCCTCCCTCCCCTGTAGCCTGGGAGAGAAAAGGGGTGACGGTATAGGAAGTGGGGAGCCGATGGGGTGGGGAGCACAGCCTGCAAGATGCCCGTGTTGCCCCGTTTTCTCTAGACTTCATGGGTTTGCAATATTCTTCGTTTAAGATGATTTTCCATCCTGCTGGAAACCGGGGCCTGCTGATCGCCGCCTGTAGTTGGGTGGCCTCTCCGTGGGGGTGGGAGTCTCTGCCCCTCCTCCTGCAGTCTGTCCTCTGGGCTGGGCGGGGCTGTGGCCTGCAGAGGGACGCCTCTCTCTGGGCTTTTTGCAGAGACGTAGCTGCTGTTGCTGAGGCAGCCAAGGAGTCCTACGGAGCCCTTTTGTTGAAGAACAAAGGGGATGTTGAAGTTACACAGATGACACATTTTGGAACATTAAAGGAAGGAGGAAGTAAAACTATGGTGATCTGGATTGAGTGAGTTTGCCACTTAAAAGTTCTAAATAATGTTATAGTAATATCCTTTAAACTATGATTTAAGAATTTCCGTAGAACCAGCCTTGCCCATTTTTTTCCTTTATGAAGATCTTTTCAAATATTTTCACCCCACAGTATCTATTTTATTTATTATATTCATAAAGGCATTTGCAGTTGCCATTTCCTAGACTGAACTTTGTGTTTTATGCTAACTGAATATCTTACCTTTAGAATCCTATCTGTAGTTATGGCTAATTTTCTTTCTCCAGGAATAAAGGAGACATTCCTCAAAACTTAGTCAGCTGTAAACTAGCTGGCTGGGACAAAGCTAGACAGTTCCGATTCCAGGTGCTGGATGAAGCCCAAGCATGCCCAGTGGTATCTTTTGTTTCTGTGCCTGAGAAGAAGAATTTATCAGATGAAAATATTAATTCGATAAATAGCTACCGAAAAAACAAAACCTGTCAGACACCAGAGAGTAGTTTGGTGGACAACAGAAACGACTCCCCAGGTAGACAGACGCTTCACTCTTAGCACGCGAGGTCGGGTGGGTGGAGGGAGCCTCAGGGCTGTGAACCAGACGCCCAGGCGAGTTGCGGGCAGAGGTGGGTGCCGTGGCCAGAACACCCCGGCCGCTGCAGTGCTTCCTGCTCTGAGCTCTGTGGTTTTGGGCCCTTCTCCTCTTGATGTTTCGGGGCTGGGAGAGGGACGGAAATAGCTATACCTAGAAGTGCTTCGTTCAGGTGGTGCCATTTCCCGCGTATTTCCACACCAGGGGAGGATGCTGTGGGGCGTCGCAGGGACTGCCTGGTGCGGCTGCTGCTCCGCCCCTCCCACTGCTGGCTGCTTTCTGTCTGTATTTTCTGTCCGCCACCACCTGAGGCTTTGCCCAGCGTTCAGTGTGCAGTCGAGCGTGAGAGAGAGTGTGTGTGTGTGTGTGTGTGTGTGTGTGTGTGTGTGCGCGCGCGCACATGCGCATTTCCACTGGGTGTGCTGGCACTGTGCGAGATAATTAGCTTTCTTGTCTGAGTTGGGATTTAAATTTCATTTCCCAGGTGACCGTCCCTGTGAAGGAGAGAGTGGAGGAAAAGGAGGCACGCCACCACAGCAGCAGGTGGCAGAGCCCGGGCCTGGGGTGCTTGTCCCTCCTGGGGGAAGAACCTCCGTGGTGGTTGTATGTGACGCAAAGTACGTGACTGGAGGTCTGGAGAGAGCCGCTGCGGGTGCATTTGCACCTTTTTCTTTTTAAGTTTCAACTGTGACACTTCTAGGTTGGGTGTCATAAAAAGTACTCATGAGTGTCTTGATGTGACAAAATCATAAGAAAAAACATTGATCAGAAAATGGGTACATGAGCTCTGCCCAGTTGAGCGGTGGATGCTGTGGCCCAGAGACATCCCCCGTGGGCCTCAGCACCCGACCCTCAACTTCATGGAGAAAATAGGGCGTCCGTGAGGCGTGTTCAGGCGTGAGGCCCCTCTGCTCTGAGCCCTGCTGTCCTTGGCCATCTTGGCCGCTCCTCCTCACTGCCTTCCTCACGAGCCCTGAGGCCTCCGTCCACTGCCATCCCTGCCCCAGGGCACCTCTTCTCTCCCTGGCAGGTTGGTCCCACCCAGCTGAGACCCGCTGGTCGCTGGTCCCTCTACTGGCTCTCCCCACGTCCCCGCACCATTTGAGCTGCTTGAAAGTGTGTGGTCAACTTCCAGATGGGCATTTGGGCTGCAGGTCTTCTTATTTCTCCTCCACATTTGCTAATTGTAAATTTTTTTAAATACTTAGATTAAATCACTGCCTTGTTTTAAGGCCATCAGATATCAAACTGTGGGTGACAATTAAGTATGTAGTCTAGGCCCGGCACGGTGGCTCACGCCTGTAATCCTAGCACTCTGGGAGGCCAAGGAGGGTGAATTGCTTGAGGTCAGGAGTTTGAGACCCCATCTCTACTAAAAATAGAAAAATTAGCCAAGCATGGTGGTGCACGCCTGTAGTCCCAGCTACTCAGGAGGCTGAGGCAGGAGGATCGCTTGAGCCCAGGAGTTGGAGATTGCTGTGAGCTAGGCTGACACCACGGCACTCTAGTGCAGGCTACAGAGCAAGGCTCTGTCTCAAAAAAAAAAAGGAAAAAGAAGTATGTAGTCTTCAATTGGCTGTGTGAGATGCAGCCAGCTTAAATGATTTTTTTTTAACGTTATGACAACCTAGAAATAGGCAAAGAAGCCGTGAGTGGGAGCCAAGCGTAGTGTGTACAGAGTAGCCCCAGCTACAGCACAGCAAGGAATTGGCAGAAAGCAAGGTAAAAATAGTGCATATTTTTGGCCATGTTATACAATTCTGATTTAAACTTGAGAATATTGAAAATGTTTTTCCTTTTCTTAAGTTTGACAATTACAGAAAAGACTATTTTAGGTGCTTAATTTTATCTTGAGAAAATATTACATTGCTTATTTTAGAAAGTCTCTTTTCTGTGTAAAAAGAATTGTTACAAACTAAGGATGGGCCAGGCTTGGTGGCTCACATCTGTAATCCCAGCACTTCGGGAGGCTGAGGTGAGAGGATCACTTGAGGCCAGAAATTCAACAGGCCTGAGCAACATAGCAAGACTCTGTCTCTGCAAAAAACAGAAAAATTATCAAGACATGGTGACATGTGCCTGGATTCCCAGCTACTCGGGAGGCGGAGGCAGGAGGATTGCTTGAGCCCAGGAGTGTGAGGCTGCAGTGAGCTGAGATGACACCACTGCACTCCAGCCTGAGTGACAGAGCAAGACCCTGTCTCAAAAAACAACAACCACCGAAAAAAAACCTAAGGAGGACCATTGTCTGAAAGCCCTGCGACTTTCCTTGTATGCCGAAAGGGAAATGATGTTGAATTTGCCTATCTTACTTATGACTGAAACTAAATTACCTTTTGTTTTGTTTTTTCCCAAAGAAATTCTGGCCGCTGCAAGGAGCTCCTTTTGCTCTGTTTTTCCAAGTTCCTAATTGGACGATACCTTGAAGTAAATGTTGTAAGTGGTGAGGAGTCACTAATAGCTGTCCGTGAGCCGTTTTCTTGGAAAAAGCCTAAAATTTCCCAGGTGTCAGCATCCACAAAAACTACAGTGGTCGTGACCACACAGCAAAGGTACAGCAGCTGTGTGTGTGGCTCTTGGTCTGGCGGCGTCATCTGTTAAGGGGAAGCAGATGGTGCTGGCGGGCGAGAGTCACCTCCCAGCTGGGGGAGGTGACACAGGAGGGAAAGCTGGGGTTTGAGCCTCCGTCCACGCAGCGTTTGGGGCCGGGGACGCATCTCCAGGGAAGTCTCACGGCCTCTGCTGCTGCCCAGTGACAGTGTGAAGTCCGAGGGAGGTGGTCTGCACCCCCCCAGGCCCCACTGTGCCCTGGCAAGTCTCAGGGCCGCTCTCTGAGCAGGATGGGGTTTGTGCTCAGCCACCTCCAGTGTTGCTCGTGTGGCGGCAGCAGGAGCGCTTGGTCCCTTAAAGCCTGTTGAAGATGTGGTCCCATTTACGAATGACTCTGAAGAAGGCAGCGTGTGGTCTCCTAGTGCCCCGTGGCTGGGAACCTGGGGCTGCCCAGGTTTTAACTGGGGTGTAGACTCTGGGAAGTACTCAGGTCCACATTTTCTCTTCTGCAGTAATAAAACCAAAAAGCTCTGAAAAGCAGACTTTTTTTAAGTTTGGTGCCAGAAAATCCAGCCTGTCAGCCTGTGAGGGTGGTCAGAAACTTTGTCCCACGTGACGTGAGCAGTCACCCATTAGCAGTAGTACTGATGGGTGTGAGCTCTGGTGCTGCCCAGAGCCCACTGAGGGTGAGATGTTTTATTTCTCTAATGTTGGAGAACTTTGAATTTCAAACCACGTGTTGGCCAAGTAACAGTTTAAGATGAGGAATTATGGATGTCTGCTAAATTTCAGGCTGAAGGAAAAATCTTTTAGCAAAGGAGAATATTGTGTGGTTGTTTACCTTTGGAGTTAGACTGTACGAATCATGGCACGACCACCAGGAAGCTGTGTGACCTTGGGCAAGTGTCTTAACCTCTCTGAGCCCTTATTTGCATTTGTAAAATGATAATTGCTACGGCTCGAGGTTTGAGAATTAAATGAGGAAAGGCATGTCAAATGCAGTTTCCTGACAGAGCAGTCACTCCGCAAGTAGCACTGATCCCTGGTGACATGGAGGAGGGGCGCCCAGTAGGAATGGAGCCCAGAAGGAGGGCAGGAAGCACCGAGGCTGCTGCTAAAGCAGCAGGGTCAGGAGACTTTGAGAGCCCGTGGTTCTCATGTAGTGGTGCACCAAACAGCTTAACTAGGCTTAACTAGAAGAGGAAAAAATATAGACCAACAGCCACATTTTATTTTAACTCCGGTCAGTTATTTCCCTTTGAACATTAATGCATCGTCACTGCCCAGGAGCGTCTCTAGGACGCCGCTTCCTGCCAGTCAGGTTGGCTGGAAGGCCAGCTGTTTGGCGCTGCCCACGCAGGTGCCCTGCGACGTGGCCCTGGCCTCACAGGCCCTGCACGTCCTGCTGAGACCTCGCCAGGCAGCTCCAGTCTCAGTCCTGCTCTCTTCTTACGCAGTAGGGTGTGTGCACCTAGCAGAGCTGCGCTGGGGGCCCTCCGCGTCCAGTCTTGTCGCTCCAGCTCTCCTGGCCACGTGGTTAGGCTGGCCACCTGCCTGAATGTGCGGTGTCTCGCTCATATCAGCAACCCAGACTTCACCCCCACTGCTGAGGGCCCACTGACTTCCACGTGCTACTGTGACTCTCGCCACAGACTTTGGGGAGAAGACACCTCCGTGTCTTCCTGTAGGGCTGAGCTAAAGGCACCCAAATGTGCGGTGACAGCTGAAGGAATAGGAGGTCGGTTGCCCTGTCCCCTCTCTCCACTCGGACACATGGAAACGAGAGTCGGGAGGGACCCGGAGAAAGGGCCTGATGCCTTTCTTCACGGGGTTCAGGTTCACCCGACCTCCCTCTGACTTTGAGCTTCCCTGTGCTCTCCCGGTGCCTCTTCTCCCATTTTCCTCCTTTTTGTCACTCCTGTTGTGCTGTTGGACTTGTCCAGCAGCAGTGGTGTCCTTCATCCTCCTGACGGCAGGATTTTGGTGACCCCAACAGCCATTTCTAGAGAAAGGCGGAAGCTTGAGGGTGAAACTGAATTTCCCCAGAGAAATTACAGGCTGAGAAACAAAAGAAAAGCAAATCGAAGGCAGGAGCCAAACAGAGCAACCTCCAGATGTGTTCTTCACAGTGATAGCATGGGCATAGTGTCTAACACTCACGTCCTTTTTTCAAAGTACAGTAGGAAAAGTTTAGCGAATTAGAAGGTTAAAGCCAACCGCTCACGAATTCACTGGTTCCAGGAGGTTCCCGGGGCTCCAGCCCTGTTGTCCTGCAGCCAGAGCAGCTGTGCCTGCCTCTGTTGGCAGGTGCTTCTCTGCGGGAGCTGGCGGGAGAAAGGGTCCCAAAGCTGAAAAACGAGTGCGAACTACGCAGGCCAGTTATTCGTATGTCAGTTATTTTCAGTGAGTGAATGAACGTTGGTCTTTCTAAAACAGAAAAGGCTAAGTAAAAATGTGATGTGTAGTATAAAATGACTGGCAATTAAGAATTGTTTTTAACTTCAGAATTTATTTTTTAAGGAATTCAAGACGACAACTTCCCAGTTTTCTTCCACAGTATCCGATACCAGATAGACTTAAAAAATGTGTGGAACAAAAAATTGACATCCTGACTTTTCAGCCATTACTTGCCGAGGTAGGAGAACTGATGCTGTGTGGAATGTTTACCTCCTCACCACTCTGGAGTTGTTTCTGGCAAAAGCGGGAGGAGCCCTTCTCGGGCTCAGACTTCACCTTGGCTCGATTTCCACACAGGTGGCTGGGGTTTCAGGCGAGAGGCACCTCTGCCGTGCCCACGGCAGTGCCAGGAGGCCGTACCGAGTCGTGCACCAGGGCTGCAGGGGGCCAGGACAGAAGGGGGACACCTCTGCCACCAGCCCAACCTCTCTCCCCCAGACCAGGCGGCCTTTGTTAGGGCGAGAGGTGTCCACTCTCTTGACCGCTTCCCCTCATGACAGAACTCCAGCTCAGAGCAGGCGGGAATCTGCTCTGAGAAGAGGAGCTGAGAAAAGAAGGGCTCTCTCAATGAGACCTGGCACAGCACCGGCTAGCGGTGAAACGCGGGCCCCTCCTGAAGGTCGAGAGCAAGGCCGAGAGGTCAGCGTCATGCAGGTGACGGCCTTTGCCAGAACATTCTCTCCTCACCTCCCCTGCCCTGTGCTGCTGCTGTGTTGTGACGCGTGCGGATGACGTGTTCATTCACAGAGGCCTTGCCCAAGCCTGTCCGCTGTCCTCGTGGAGGCCGAGGCCAGGGGAAGGGGTGGGACCACCCGAAGAGTGTGGGGTGTGGGCTGAGGGCAAGGAGGGGCCGTGCTGCAGCTGCAGGCAGGGGACGGGACGAGAGGAGCCCTGCACACCCACCTGTGTGGAGGACGGCACATCTGAGTGCAGTGGCTGGAGAAGGAAGGTCCAGGAAGGAAAAAGTCTGTTAAGTTTGGCAGAGGAAAAACATTACCCCATCTCCAGGCAATTTTCTATAGGGTCTGGAGGTATTCTGAGAGCCTCCCGCTAAATTGGGGTTCCAGCACCAGAGCGCTGGCAGCCCTGCCCTCCCGGGGAGTGCAGGGGGCAGCACGTGGTGTCCACGGTGTGCCTGCCGGGACGTCCTCCCTTCACCTGGCGGGTGGCCTGGTACGTGGTTGTCCAGCCTATGACCCGGGGGTCTCTCTGATGGGAAACTTGTTTACGCTGGCAGATGCCTGTTGACCTAAAAGGAAGAGGCTGAGGCACAAAATATAATGTAACGAGTTTACTTGAGCCAGAGTGAGGACAGCCGCGTGGAGACTCAGACCCAAGTCACCTTAAATGTGAGCTCCCTTTGGCCTTGGTTACAAACAGGTTTGTAAGTCAAAAAAGAGACACAGGGAGTGGGCCGATACGAAGTTGTTTGTCTAGAATTCTCGTTGGTTTACAGAAATAACATTGATTAGCAATTGGCTGTGCATCGTTAGGCTATAGGGCTTGGGTTGTAGTGTCTGGTGTAGCATTATTAGGTTAATTGGCAGCTACTGTGGCAATTGCAAGCCGTTTTGAGAGATGAATGCCTAGCTCAAGGAGGGTAGTGTTTTAATGTCTTTCTGGGCCTGATAATTTTAAAGGACTCACCTTTCTCAGGTAAAAGTTATTTTCTTTTCTCATGCCCTGTGGCTGCTATCTGACCCTGTCCAGTTGTTGCTTGTCTGACCATCACTCTGGCGTGGGGAGCCTGGCTGGGGCAGCCCCTGGTTCTTCAGACAGAAGCACAAGTTCAGTGCACAGTAGGAGGTGTGTTCGGGGGTTTATCGCTGACGGATCCTGGGCGGGCGGGCAGTCCTCTGTCCCCAGGTCACTGTGCGTTCTCAGGCAAATGCCTGAATTGTCCGTTTAGGAAATGGCAGGAAAGCGGGGAGCCCAGTCTGCTGGGCTGGAGAGAGCCCTCCATTCTCGTCTCTTTACACTGGCTTAAGCCGTTTGAGGATCACGTCCCACTTCTCATGGAACACGCCGCTGCTGTGTCACTCGCGTCACACACACACACAAACACACACACACACACACACACACACTGTCTCTCTCTCTCATCCTCACACTCACACACTCTGGATGGACCTTCACTGACGTGCATTGTCCCCCAGGGTCTGTAGTTCACTTCAGGCTCACTCGGTGGCATGCAGTGACACGCACGCACCATGGTGGTGTTGCGCAGAACACATTCACTACCCCGAACATCCTCTGTGCTCTAACCGTTCGTCCCGCCCTCCCCCAGTCCCCTGGCTCCCCCTGATCTCTCTGCTGTCTCCATGGTCTTCCTTTTCCAGAGTGGCAGAGTCAGAGCCACACAGTGAGTAGCCTTTCAGATGGCTGCTCTCACTCGGTGACGTGCACTTAAGGTTCCCCTGTCTCTCCACGGCTTGACAGCTCACTGATTCTTAGTGCTGAGTAACACTGCATGGTCTGGATGTGCCACAGTGTGTCACTTCACTTCCTGAAGGACGTCTTGCTTGCTTTCAAGTTTCAGCAGTTGTGAATAAAAACTGCTATGAACGTGTGTGCATGTTGTTTGTTTAATTATAGTCTTATTGTAGTAAAACATGCTTAAACATAAAATTTACCGTCTTATTCCTATTTAAGTACACAGTAGTATTACATACATTGCTAATGTTGTGCAGCCATCACCACTGTCCGTCTCGGAACCCAGAAACCCTGCCCCCATTGAACACTGACTCCCCACTTCTCCTCCCCCAAGCCATGGAAACCACAATTCTGCTTTGTCTTTATTATTTTTACTACTCTAGGAAGCTCATAGAAGTGGAATCATACAGCATTTGTCCTTCTGTGACTGGCTTACCTCACTTCAAATAACGTCCTCAAAGTTCATCCATGTTGTAGCATATTGCCCCATTTCCCTCCTTTGTAAGGCAAATATAATGTTGCCGCTGCATGTGTAGACCACACATTGATGGGTGATCTACAGGTACAAACCAATAAAGGAATAAAAAAATATATATATATTTAAAAAATATATATATGTGTGTGTATATATCATTTCACTGCTGGGTATACCTGTAGTCCCAGCTACTCAGGAGGCTGAGATGGGAGGATCCCTTGAGCAGAGGAGTTTGAGACCAGCCTGGGTAACATAGCAAGAGCTCATTGCTCAAAAAAAAAAAAGAAAGAAAGAAAGGCAGAAATCATGTGACCATATATTGGAGTGTTTATTTCTGGCATCTCTATTCTGTTGATCTATATGTTTATGCCAGTACCACACTGTTTTGATTACTGTAGCTTTGTAGGAAATTTTAAAATTAGAAAATGTGAGTCACTCCAGCTTTGTTGTTTTGCAAGATTTTTTTAGCTATTTGTGCTCTTCTGTATGAATTTTATAATGGGCTTTTGTATTTCTTCTTCAAATAACTTTTCAATTTCAAATTTCTTTTTCAGTGACTTTCCAAAAGTCATTAGAATTTTGATGGGAATTGCACTGAATCTGTAGATCACTTTGGGTAGTATGGACATTTTAACAATATGAGTCTTCCTGTCTGTAAACATGAGATTATTTTCATATATTTATGTTTTCTTTAATTTCTTTAAGCAGTGTTTTATAGTTTTCACCGTACAAGTCTTTCACTTCTTTGTTTAAATTAATTCCTAAGTATTTTGTTCTTGTTGATGCTATTGTAAACAGAATTGCTTTCATACTTTGAGATAATTCGCTGTTAGTGTTTGCAAATTTTGTGTTTTGACTTTGTATCCTGCTACTTTGCTGAATTTATTCCAACAGTTTTTTGTGGACTCTAGGGTTTTCTACATCTGAAATCATTCCATCTGTAAACCGAGATAATTTTACTTCTTGCTTTCCAATTTGGACACCTTTCCTTTCTTTTTCTTGCCTAATTGCTCTGGCCAGGACTTCCAGAACTATGTTGAATACAAGTGGTGAGAGCAGGCATCTTTGCCCTGTTCTTAATCTTAGAGGAAAAGCTTTCAGTCTTTCACCATTGAGTATGTTTTTCACTGTGAGTTTTTCATATATGGCTTTTATCATATTGAGGTAGTTTTCTTGTATTCCTAGTTCAGTGTTTATCATGAAAGGATGTTGAATTTTGTCAAATGCTTTTTCTGCATCAGTGGAGATGATCATGCGGTTGTTTTTCTTTATTCTGTTAATGTATTACATTGATCAATTTTTGTATGTTGAACCATCCTTGCATTCTAGACATAAATCCCATTTGTTCATGGTGTGTAATCCTTTGAATAAATTTTATTGAATGCTTTTCCCGCATCTATTGAGATGATCGTATAGTTTCTGTTTTTAATTCTGTTAATGTATATCACATTTACTGATTTGCACATGTAGAACCATCCTTACATCCCTGGAATGAAACCCATTTGATCACAGTGAATTATCTTTTTGATGCGCTGTTGGATTTGGTTTGCTAGTATTTTGTTGAGGATTTTTACACCTGTGTTCATCAGAGATACTGGTCTGTAGTTTTCTTTGCCTGTAGTGTCTTTGTCTGGCTTTGGTATCAGGGTAATGCTGGCTTCATACAATAAGTCAGGGAGTGTTCCCTACTCTTTAATTTTTTGGAAATGTTTGGTAAAGATTGGTATGTTATTCTTTAAGTGTCTGGTAGAATTTATTCATGAAGCCATTTGATCTAGGGCTTTTATTTTTCAGGAGACTTTTGATTACTAATTTAATCTCCTTAGCAGTTACGTATCTATTCAGATTTTCTATTTTTTCATGGTTTAGTCTTGGTAGGTTTTGTGTTTCTAGGAATTTGTCTATTTTATCTAGGTGTTGGTGTACAACTGTTCATACTCTGTTATAATCCTTTTTATTTCAGTAGAATCTGTAGTAATGTCCTCACTTCCATTTCTGATTTTAGTAATTTGAGTCTTTTCTTTTTTTCTTCTAGTCAATCTAGCTAGAAGTTTATTGATTTTGTTGATCTTTTCATTTTCAGAGAACCAACTTTTGGTTTTACTGATTTTCTCTATAAATCTCTCTGATTTTCTCTGTAGTTCTCTCTTTTGTTTATCTCTGCTCTAATCTTTCTTTCCCTCCCTCTGGTAGCTTTGGGTTCGGGTTGTTCTTCCTGCACTAGTTCTATGCAGTGCTCGTGGCCGCGGGTCCCCCTCAGAGTGCTGCTGCCACTGCACCCGTAAGTCTTGGTGTGTTGTGCTTTTGTTTTCATTCACATCCTAGTACTTTCTAATTTCCCTTGTGATTTCTTCCTTTGCTTTAATTCTTCCTTCTTTTGCACATAATGTATGTTTGTTTCTAGCTGCTTTTAAGGTTTTTCTTTTTATCACTAGTTTTAAGAAATTTAATTTATAGTATGCTGTGGTTTAGTTTTTCTCTTCATATTGTGCTTGGGGGTCATTGGGATTCTTGGATGTGTGGGCTTATAGTTTTCCTCAAATCTGGAATTTCCATCCATCACGTCTTAAGGCGCACTCTCTGCCCCTGCCTTTCCGGGTCCTGTCAGGCCACTGCAGGCTGTCCCACAGCTCGCAGCGTGCTGCTCTTTTTTTCCAGTCTTCTTTCTTCCGTGTTGAGTTTTGGGTAGTTTGCATTGCTGTGTCTTCAAGTCCGCTAATTTTTTCTTTGCAGTGTGTGATCTCCAGTGTATTTCTGTCAGATGTTGTAGTTGTCATCTGTCCATGTTCCACTGGGTCTTTTTATACCTTCCTGGCCTTTTTATACCTTCCTGGTCTCTACTCTGCCCCCTCATCCCTCCACCTGGCTTGTGTCCTTCCTTGTCTGCCAGCTCTGCTTCTGTGTCTTCTCTGATTCTGGTTCTGGGTTCTGGTTCTGTTGGTAGCTTTTCCTCCTCATTATGGGTTGTAGTTTTCTCCTTCATCCAATGCCTGGTAATTTTCTTTGGATGCAAACATTCTGAATTTTACTGTGTTGGGTGCTGGCCTTTTTTTTCCTAAAAATATTTTTGAGCTTTGTTCTGGGACACAGTTAAGCTACTTAGAAACAGATGAGATGGGCTGTGTCGGGGTGGTGTGGCCACAAACAAAAACAAGTACATAGGTGTAAGCCTGGTATTTAAGCTTCGCTAGGCAGAACCAGAGTAACTTCATTTGGGGATTGTGCCCTTTTATTATAGCCTTCCTCCTTGGGCAGGTGGGGACCACGCCTTCCTTGGCCTGGTGTGAGCTCCGGGAACAGTCCCTCTAATCCGGTGGTTCTCACTGAGTGACCATTTTCCCTGCAGCAGACACTTCTGGCTGGCACGACTGGGTGAGGGGGTGTTACTAGCATCTAGTGGACAGAGACCAGGGATGCTGCGCAGACTGCAGCGCACAGGATGCCCCTGCCGCAGAGCCACCCAGCCCTGAGGGTCCCGAGGGGAGAGGCCCTGGTGGCACCCTCCAGTGGGTCTCCTGGTACAGTGTCATCTCATGCACGTGCTCAGGGCTGAGCTGATGGTTCAGAGAAGATCCTCTGATGCTCTCCAAGCCACTCTGTCTGTGCTGTCCTCTCTTCCCAGCACTTAGCTCCCTCGGCTGCCTCAGACCTCCAGTTCCTTCTCCTCAACTCAGGGACCACGTGGCTCCCTGGGTTCTCTGTGCTGTGGCCTGGAGACTCTGTCTAGATCTCAGCCGGGGTGGTCGTGGGCTTGTTTCCCCAATCTCAGGATCACTGTCCTAAACGGTTGTTTCCTACTTCTCTATTGTTTTTAAAATTATTCCCTGTAGGAAGGTAAATCTGGTCCTTCTTGCTCCATCTTGGCCGGACCTGGAAGTTCTGTACTTTTTCACATGTCTGTAGAGGCCAAACCCTGCCCTTTCCAGAATGAACTCGAAAGACCTGAGCAAGAACAAAAACAGGGGTGGTGGACAGGGGTGTGGGCAGCGCAGAGGGGAGCTGCCGGCTGGAGCCCCACAGGCCCCAGTTGAAGGCCCAGGAAACATGCGATTTCACTCAGAAACCCTGACCTTTAACCACCGTGCCTGGGGGTCTGTCTGTGCAATGCGAGCAGTTTGGACTTTCTGACTCCAGAGCTGCTGATTTCCTAGGTGTGGATCCATTTGATGTGTGGCTTCGCTCTCACTAACTTGCTAATGTTTGGGGTTTTTCCCAGCTTTTGAACATGTCAAATTACAAGGAGAAGTTTTCGACTTTGCTGTGGCTTGAGGAGATTCATGCAGAAATAGAACTGAAAGAGTACAACATGAGCGGTGTCACCCTGAAGAGAAATGGGGACTTACTGGTTTTGGAGGTCCCAGGGTTGGCTGAAAGCAGACCTTCTCTGTACGCAGGTATGTGCGCCATTGGGCATGTTTTCCTGGACAGACTGACAGACCACACTTAAGGAAAAGAATATTTTATTTTCTAACTGGGAACACTACAATCACGTTATCTCCTTTTTTTTCCTTTTTCTTTGGGTTAGAATTTCACTTAAAATGAGCAGGCCGGGCACAGTGGTTCAGCCTAAAATCCCAGCACTTCGTGAGGCCAAGGTAGAGGATCACTTGAGCCTGGGAGTTGAAAACCAGCCTAAGCAGCATAGTGAGACCTGTCTCTAAAAAAAAAAAAAAACTTGATCAGCAACCTTAGTACATCAAGCCTGTTTCTTTGTCACACTTAATTATTGTTACGCACTTGATCCCAGTAACATTTGTTTTATTCCAAGTCCTCAGTGTTGGATTTTATGGTAGAGCACAGCACAGGAATTTACGATTTTGTGTTAGTTTTACACATGGTAATATATTTTTTAACTAGGTGATAAACTGATTCTAAAAACTCAGGAGTACAATGGACATGTCATCGAATACATCGGCTATGTGACTGAGGTGAGAGGACTCTCTTAGTAAGAGTTAACGTTGGACTAACCCTCCAACCCGTCGCAAAGGTAAACGTCTGCCCACAGCACTCTCTTGAGCATTGGGTGTATTTTGGAAAATTTAAAGATAGGGTAAATCTTTAAATAATTTTTGATGCATAAAGGGAACTTAATATCTAAAGAAATGCTATCATTTTCAACCATGTAAAACATATTTAAAGTTCTGTTTAAGTCATGGTGTTTGCATTTAGTAAATTTGGGCATCTGAATGTATTCAGAAGAGTTAGCGCAGTGAAACCTCAGAAGGAAAGATACACGTGAGCGTTTACGGCTCTAATGTGTGTGCACAGGAAGCTCTGTCGGCTTAACCAGCGCCTGGGCTCCAGGTCACTCTGCGGGTGTCGTCTGTGACTCTGGGGCTGTTTTTTCCTGCTCACGTCCTGGTCCTGGCTCTGGGAACGATGCTGGGATCTGCACAACAAGGAGGACGCTTTCTCTGTGCATCAGAGGAGAGGAAGCACACACGTCACTTAATGTAGAAAATTAGAAGGGAAAATGCCAAACCCTTCACTCTGGAAGGGGAAAAGGGTTGAGAGAATAGCAGAGTCTGACAAGCCTTCGAAGAAGAGGCAACATCTGACCTTTGCCACTGCGTTTGTTCCATTCTGCACCTTGATTCAGGGTCCACTCCTTGATTCATGGAATGTGGCATTTTCCCAGAAGACAAAGTCCTTGTAGGGTTCAGAGATCTCCTAAGGACTCGTAAGACACGTGCTTTGCCCACCATTTGCTTCCAGCGTGGTGTGGAAGGTGGAAGATGACAGCAGTGGGACAGCAGGTGGGTTCCCCTGCGGGTTAGGGGAAGACCAGTGCAGGACGTTGCTGCAGGCAGGGGAGATTGAGTCTGCTTGAGGAGAGCTGGAGGTAGCATCTGAGATGGCCTTAAGCGACAAAAAGAATTTTGGTGGCTGAGACGGGCACGGAAGGTCGTTTCAGACAGTGCGAAGGACCCAGCAATGACATAGAGGCTGACGCCTTCATAGTTGAGAGTTTGACGTCCTCCTGTGGGCCAGCACAGTCAGTGACGTCACTTAGGATTTGACTGTGTGTGGGAAGCCTGTGTTGTCAGATTGGAGCAAGAGCAGCATTATTTTGAGAAGAGTGGGCAGCTCCCAGAATTGCCCCAGGGTGGGCAAGCCAGGCTTGGAGAACAGAGGTTGGGGCAATTTGCAAGGCAAATCACAGCAAAGAAGTACAAAGCCACAGGAGGGTGTGGCTCCCACCAGCCTCTGGCAGGAGATAAGGCAGCCAGCAGCGCTGCATCTCAGTGTCAGATGGTGATGCTGTGGCCGCCCTCAGAGGTCCTCCGTCCTTGTGCCTTAAGGCAACTGGATTCTGGCCAAAAGTCCAGAGTACCTGGTTGGCCATGTCGTGAGCTCCAGCCACAGCACAAGGGACGCTGGACACTTCCTGCGTTCTTAGTGAGAGGCTCACAGGAGCTTACAGCCCCAGTATCAAAAGGGGGTTCAGACTCTAGTAGCAAGGAAAAAAAGCATCTTTCTTGCATTAGAGTATCAGCATACCCCTTCCTTTTTATACTTAAACTTGTAAAGAACTTTTATAAGCTCCTCACTAAGACTCTGCACTTATCCACGTGCAGCAAATGTCCTCATTTCTCCCAAAGGTACGTCCACAGCCCTGTCATGCACCACCTCCAGGTCCCAAGTCTCAGGGGACATCTCTTCCTGGGCCGTGCACAGGGCTATCTGGACAGCCTGCAGCCGTGGACTCAATCCGAACGTTAACTGCTGCCAGTGCACACGGCATCTGAGAAGAGGGAAGGGGCATTATCAATAGTATATAAATAGGAAAGAAATTGATCCAGTTGATGGCGAGACCAGTGCTAAAATTTACAGTTTCCCTCCTTTCTGCCTGTTGCAGGCTCTCCAAATTCAGCAGCACTTCAGTTAGTTGAGGAAGTAGCAGCCCCCCGTTAAGGGTTGCACCCGTTTGTCCCGTGCCCGTGTTTCCCACAGGCTGTCACAAGGAACCAACCGGGGGAAGGGCAACCCCTCCCCCGGGGAAAAAAACAACCCGGGAACCCGAAGCCGGGGGCCCACCACCCTGCCAGCTCTGCGTAGCCCACTCTGGCTACTAACTAAGTTGGCGTGAGATGCCCAGAATGGCCAAATGACCCTCATGGCTTCCAAAGAGTGGACCAGTTCTGCCAAGCCAGGAAGCCCTGGGTACAAAAACCTCAAAAGAAGCAGAGTCAGGATTGCAGGGGTGAAGCACCCGCCCAGCTCCACCCTTGGTTCCTGGGCCTCACGGTCTGGCTGTGGGTAGACAGAACCACCCAGGGCGAATTCAGAGCTGATGCTGCAGTCACCCCAGCCTCGGGAGGGGTCAGGCCCCTGGAGATCCTTCAGTAGGACACCCCACTGTTACGAAGCCAGCTGCTCCAGAGTGATGGATTTCATGGAAAAGGTGGTGAATTCCTCAGGTCTCAGCCCGTCGCTGTACTTGGTTCCCTGTGATCTAGTTTCCTGGCTAGAGCGGTGGTGTGAGGAACCGCACTGGACAGAAGGCCCTCAGGAGGGCCCCATGGTGTGGCGGGCAGAGAAGACACATGTGGAATGAGTTGCTGTCCACCGAAGCCACGTTGCTCTCTCCCGTAACCGTTCACCAGGACACCAGCTGGCAGGGACAGTTCCTAGCGGGGCCTGCACCCACAAGGGCAAGGAGGCTCCTTTGGCCAGGCCCATGCTTGGCACTGACCCTGCCCCCAGGCCACGTCCATGAGGGCCTCGACGTCTGCCTGAGAGCAGACACCGCCATGCGTCTGCCCTGCGTGCTTGGTTCTTGCAGCTGCCCTCACGTGTTTCATGTTGTCTTATGCTTATCTTTGTCTTGCGGTTTTCCATTTCACATGTAGCATAAGTGCCGCAAATGGCCGCGATGGTGTGTGGGGTCCTTGGTGGCTATCTGCACTGACCCCACCCTGGTTTCTGTGTGTGCTTGGTGACCTCTGACCAGGGATTCGTCTTCATTTCTCTTGATGTCTGGAGGACCCAGGGACCTGTGCTGAGCTTGTTTCCTCCTCAGGAGACAGTAGGGCTCCTGCTGAGGAGGCAGGGGTGCTGCCCCCCAGGGCAGAACCACCCATCAGCTCTGCACTTGGATCTTGAGGCTCAGGTCCCAGCTTCCTGACTGTGCTGGCATCAGCCCTGGCCTCAGGAGACCACCTGCCTTAGTCACCTGAAAAAGAGTCTGAACTCTTTTTTCAGCTCGAAGTTTTCCTTCCTATTTTTCTTCCTATATGTCCTGAGAAATTTCCTTTCTTTCCTGCTTGTCCGGGAAGGAATGTGCAGAAGTGTTTCCTGCAGCATCTAGTCTCAGCTGGAGGGCTTCCCTGGAGCTCCCGCTCCGTGTGCTGTAACACTGGGAGGGGAAGTCTCTTCACCAAGGCTTTATCATAGCAGCTCCTCCTGTGTATAATTTGATACCATAATGAGTCGATCCTTTTCAACTAATTTTGCAGATATCAAATTTTAGCTCAAAGCTGTAGTATGAATTTTTCATGATGTGTTGCTGGATATAGATACAAGATTGTTCCAAGAAATCAAATGTAACGTTACGGAAGTTAAAATCATTTGTTCCTTTTTTAGATTCATGAAGAAGATGTAACTCTTAAACTTAATCCAGAATTCGAGCAAGCTTATAACTTTGAACCCATGGATGTGGAATTTACGTATAACAGGTAATGCTTTCAGCAAGTATTTGTTCAAAGTCTCTCCACCCTTGAGCTGATGGTTCTCAAGTCCTCGGTTGGACATCCCGCAGTGACGTGGCAGGTGCCCACAGGGCCTGCAACGTGGATGGAGGGTGGCTCCGTCCACCAGTGTTGCACGTCCCATGTGTATCTGTGTTGCCAGATATTTTTTGAGACATGAGGTGCTTCCATCTGCATGTTCATTCTTCTCTGCACCAGACCTTTGGTTCATGCCAGTCACCGGCAGCTGCGGCTACCCGACCTCGTTCAGTCAGTGGTTGTGGGAGGATCGCTGCTCCCCTCACCCCACTTCCCGTCCTCCACCGAACCCCAACCTGTTGACTAGAATTTTGGGTTTTTTCCCTTTTTTAAGAAATGGTTTGTGTCTATGTATACACACATACACATTCACGTGAGAAACGTATTCTTTAGTTCTAATTATTTTTAAGTTTATAAAAGGAATAACTTGTTACATATAGTTCCTAGGAGTTGCCTTTTTCACTAAACATTGTAACTGAGATTTCCCCGTTTACTGAGATTTCCCCGTTGTAGTCTGTAACTAGCGTTCATCTGTTTTTACCACTGCATTGTATGCAGTTGTGTGAATATCCACCCCTGTGTTTCTCTGTGATGAACATTTTCATTGTTTCCTGTTTTGTTTGTTTGTTGCTCTTATTAACGAGCTGCTGTGTGTATTTAGGGGTGGGATTGCTGGATTTGAGGTGAAATCTGTCTCGTTACGGTCTTGATTTACATTTCTGTGATTACTTAGAAGGTTGAGAATCTCCTTTGGTTGGCTATCAAGCATTCATCTTCTGGGAACTTGCTCATGTGTTTGGCCCTCTCTTTTATTGATTAACTTATCTAATTTTTATTATTTGTAGGAGTCCTTTCTGTATTCTTTCAGGTTTTTTGTTTTTTTTTTTTGGAGACAGGTTTGGTCTGTCGCTTAGGCTAGAGTGTAGTGGCGTCATTACAGCTAACTGCAACCTCCAACTCCTGGGCTCAAGCCATCCTCCTGCCTCAGCTGGGACTACAGGCACACACCACCACCCGCGGCTAATTTTTCTATTTTTTGGAAAGACGGGGTCTTGCTCAGGCTGGTCTCGAACTCCTGAGCTCAAGCGATCCTCCCGCCTCGGCCTCCCAGAGTGCTCGGATTACAGGTGTGAGGCACTGTACCTGGCCCCTGCTGTGTTCTTTATGCTAAAAACTATTCTCAGATGTATGTATCTTCTTCAGGTTTAGTACTTTTAGCTTTCTGTGAAATACCTTTTGACTAACAGAAGGCACTAATTTTAATGTGGTCAAATTTATTGAATTTTTTGGTTATAATAGTGCTTTTCCTGCCCTTTAGAGAAATCATTTAGGGTGTGGGCTGTTGCCAGACTGGAATGTGTTGTGGGTGAATGGACTGGAGAAGTGAAGAAATTGGTTGGTTCTTTTTTACGGTGTTTGTCTGTGAAAGCAGGGCGGGATGCAGAGGGAGAGATGTTCTTTGATTACTGAAGACGCACGTGAGGCCCAGGGAGTGCTGCTCAGGTGAGACGCAGCCTGCCGACAGCCAGCGACGGAGGTTCCGTGACTGGGAAGGAGAGGCTGCGGGCGGGTGGGCGTGTGAGGAGGTGGGCTCTGGACCACAGGCTGAAGCATCCTCGCTGTGATGCAGAGAGATTTGGAGCCGATTTATGGGCCTAAATTTCTAATGCCTGTTTCTACTCTGGAACGTGAAGCCATTCTAGTAGGTGAGAAGTGATAGTTCCTTGTGCTTTTAATTTGTATTTCTCCAGTGACCAATGATGTCGATCATCTTTGTATGTGCTTTTTTTTGCCAGTGGTACATAATTTTTGTTGACGTTGTTGACTCAGATAAATGACTGAGGCAAAAATATCAATCAGTGGAAGTTTATTAAGCCAAGATTTGGGGGGAAAGCATGAACCACAGACAAGCTGTAGCTATTTTTCCAAAGGAGAGGTTGGAACCTGCAGCATTTTAAAGGCAACAGAGAGAAGGGAAGCGGTGGGTGGCAGGGGGAGGCTTATGAGACAAAGTGGCTACATTCTTGTGAGGCCCAAGAAATGTACGTTTTACATAAAATAAGGGAGTGAAGATTAATTACGGAGATGCCTCTGGGTAGGTGGGAGAATGTCTGAGTCTGTCCTGTCTGCAGTTCTCTTACCTGTAAGATAAAGTTGTGATTCATTATTAGTGTGGAATCGGACAGGCTTTAGTTCCAGGTGCCGACATAGGTACAGTTCGCATGTCCCTGCTTATGGGAGGTCAGCAAGAAATTTCCTGAATTTGTGCATTTCATCCAGGTTGTCTAATTGACTTGCGTAAAGTTATTCACGATATTGCTTTATTATCCTTTTAATATCTGTAGTGATGTCACATTTCTTATTCCTAATATCGGTGATTTGCGTCTTCTCTTTTTGTGCCCTCATCAGCCTGGCTCCAGGTTTGTCAGTTTTATTGACCTTATCAAAGAATCCACCTCTGGCTTTATTGGTATTCTCTGATGTTTTTCTGTCCTCTGTTTCGTTGATCGTTGCTATGATCTTTATTATTTTAGATCTCCTGCTTATAGTAGGTTTCACTTGCTTTCCTTTTTCTGGTTTCTGATGGTCGAAGTTGCGGTCACTGATGGGAGGCCTTCTCTGCCAGCGCAGGTGTGCAGCGCTGGACCAGGTCCTATTGACAGAGCATCATAGGCTCCACAGCCGGTCTCCTGTTGCTAGACGTTGGGGTTCCCTGTGTTTTGCTGTTACAAACAGTGGAGCAATAAATGTTCTTATGTCTTCGTACAGTGATGCTAAACTATAAGGAGAATTGGCATCTTTGCAAGACTGAATCTTCCTCTGGAACACAGTTGGTACTTAGGAGAGTTTCTTTCTGTTCCTGGTCCTCCTCCAGAATTCTTGTTCACTGCCCTCTTAGTCCCCTAGTCGGTTTTTTTTTTTTTTCCATGCTTTCTATCTCTTTGTGTCTTTGTCTTGTTTTTTTGTTTGTTTGAGACGAGGTCTCCTTGTGTCACCCCAGCTGGCGTGCAGTGGTGCGATTGTAGCTCACAGCAGCCTCCAACTCCTGGGCTCAGGCGACCCTCCCCCCTCACAACTGGGACTACAGCAGCCATCACCCAGCCCAAGGTTACTTTTATGTTGACACAGTATTCGTAGTACTCCCTCACACTTCACAAGCTACACTTCTTTTTTCTTTAATTGTTCACTTTATTAGAACAAATATTCCCAGAAAGGAAAGAGTTCCTGCTGTCCTAATAGGTAGGACATTTCTATTTAAATTTTTTAATAAAACTTCTAATTTCGGTGTTTTGTTTAGGCACGTGATATAGTGACCACCCCAGTCCTTCAGATTTCCCAGCGGTGCCTTTGAGACCTTGTAGGACCTGACCTCTAATGTGGTCCCTATCTATAAGCATTTTGTAGAGGTTACGTTAGTAGATTGACTGAAAGATTACATATTCAATTTCCGTGACCTGTGCTAGCCTTAATAGTTCTAAACTTGGGGTTATTTTCTGTTGTTTTATTTCTGGCAGGACCACAAGCAGACGGTGCCACTTTGCACTTGAACAAGTCATCCACTTAGGTGTAAAAGGTATTATTTATATAGAATGATAGTGTTATATCTTCCCGAGGTATTTTTATAGGCTTTGAGTAAAACTTTATACAAAACAGTCTCTTCAATCATAATATTAGAAGTAAAACTATGTGATAACCACGTATTTTTAATTGTCTATTGAGGAATTTCAGTATTGCTATTTCAGCTTACTAAGCAACCGAAAATAGCATGCTTAAATAATTGAAAACAAACTCATTGTGCTCTTCTTTTCCCCTTGCAATGGAATTCATTTTTATACTTACAGGTAGACAAGTGAATGGCTTTGTTACAAAGAATATGCAGTCCTGGTATAATTCTGTAGTTTAGAGAGAATGTACAGGAGGGTCAAGAAAGGAATGGATTGGAATATGAATTACTTTAGGATCAGCCATAAACATGTATTTCTAAGCTTTTCAGTAATGTCTATGCTCTTACCTTCTTGTTTTAAAAGTGTTGTTTCCAGAAGAAATCATTTTACAGTCTCCCCAAGTGACAGGGAATTGGAACCATGCACAAGACACCAGAAATGGTGGACAGTCCACCACCAAGGTAGTGCTCCAATAACTTCCATATATTGACATGGGTAACATTATAAACTTGCTCCCGGCTGTTTTAGCTCTCAGTTGACTGGAGTGTTAGAGGAATGTACTTCACAACCCCAAATCACAGATAAAATATGACTTAAATATTCATAAAATAGATTTAGTGGTAAAGTTCGTATGTCATTGTATGAAGGGCTAAGATGGCTACAATATATTAAGTGGGGGAGAGCAAGGTATTTGTATGATCTTATAGTTTTGTTTAAAAATTATTAATATACGGTTTTTGTATACACTCAGGCATATTTATGTGATTGTGGATGCAGAGAAAATGTCTGGAAGGAAATACCCAGAAAATTGTTAACATTTACAATCTTTGTGAATGTGGCAAAGATATTTTTTACTTCTACAATCTAGTTACTCCATAAATAATAATGGGTGCCTGTTACATGCCAGGTGTTGTCCCGGGCTCTCAGTATACTTTTGTGAATAAAATAGAAGTGGTTTGATTTATGATTGTGTTTCTAGCAACAAGAAAAATGATTTATCACATGGCGGAGCTTACAACTTATAATTCCATACTGTTGGAATTTGGTTTTGTGAGCATGTATAATAGAAAATTTTAAATTATATCTGATATTTAGAAACCCTTTTATCATTTTATAGCCCCTCCCCCAAAATGCAAAAGTGATAGCTTTAGAATGTCTACAGAATAATGGAAAATATTAATACTATATAAATGAAACAGCAAAGATTATCCATGAAAATCATCTGCTGTGTACTTCATATTTGATCTGTTTTGTTCTGCAAATAGAAAGGGGTCTTCGCTAGCACAGATGTGATACCGTCTGCAGTGCTCTCTTCCTCCCTTCACCCCTTCAGTACTGGTCCGTTCCGCACCTCCGTCTCAGGGACGGTGCGAGGTGTGGGAGGTGTCGGTGTTTAGGTGGGCACACTGTTATTGGCCGAATCTTAGTATTTTAAAATGTAGAACATTATCTTCTTAGGAGTTAGCCAGAGCATTCTATCCATCAGCCAAGATGGAATTACAGGGCCTACATTTACCTTCCTGCCTGAAACAACTAAAAACCAGATAAAATATGTAAAACAGTTTCAGACATTGGACGTCAGCTATCGGAGGACAGTGATTCCTGAGAGAGGAAACAAGTCAGGTGACCCCCCACTTACAGCCATCAGAGAGTGTCCAGGCCAGAGAGCAGGAAAGGACAGCCCCGTGGTCTACCTATGGAGTCAAAATTTGGAAACACAGGGAGAATCAGGTGGTTAAAGGAAATAGGGCAGGGTGGAGTGAGAGCAGGACAGGAGCACGGGAGGGAGCACCAAGGTCCCGTGAGTTCTCAGCTGAGTGCTGATGCGTGTGTGCTTGTGAGCAGGGCACCTGGGCTGGGAAAGGACGAGCTAGGAAGAGTGGAGAGAACACGCTTCAGCGTTGGCACAGTGCCAGGACTAGTCTGTGCCTACAGCCAGAGAAGAAGGACCTTGGAATCACAGGGCGAGTGCTGTGGAGGCTGCTGCCTCAGGAGTACAGAGGGTGAGCCCTCGGCTGAGGCTGCTCCGGCCCAGCCTGACAGGCGTGATGGCCTCAAAAGGAACAGGCTGTTTCCAAGCAATTTAATTGCATCCCAGAACAGAGCTGAAGAATATTTATAGGAATATAAAATTGTCTAGCACCCAAGAAGGCAGAAAGTTCACAGTGTCTGACACCCAATTGAAAAATAAAAGAAACTGAAAAATACAACCCATAAAGAGAAAATTTAATCAATTGGAACCAACCCCCCAAAATAACATAGTGATGGAATTAGCAGGCACAGACATTGTTAAAAAGTGATTGTAAACATCTTCGATATGTTCAAGAAAGTAAAGACGACATGAGCACGTTGAATAGAGACATGAAAGATACAGAAAAGACACAAGCGTGTCTTCCAGAGATGAAGAATTCAGTGCCTAAGATGTGCGATACATTGTACAGAACTAACAGCAGACTCGACAGTACAGAATAGAAGATTAGTGACCTTGAAGGCACCACAGCAATAGAAACCATCCAAGATGAAGCAGGAGAAGAATCTTTAAAAAAAAAGAAAAGAAAAATGTTAATTTCTCTAGAAAATAGTCTGGTTTTTTTTTTTTCAAGAAAAACGTGAAAAGAGCATCAGCGGGGTGTGGGACAACTTCAGGCAGCCTCATGTAGATGTCGTTGGAGTCCCAGAAAGAGAGAATAGGGGGAATATTTGAAAAAATAGTGGCTGAAATTTTCTAACTTTGAGGAAAACTGGGTGTGGCGTGCACCTGTAGTCCCAGCTACTCAGGAGGCTGAGGCAGGAGGATCACTTGAGCCCAGGAGTTCAAGGCCAGCCTGGGCAACATAGCAAGACCCTGTCTCTAGAAAAACAAAAAAGACACAGTTAAGATAATAAAAAGAAAAATGACAGAGAATACTTGGAAATCACATATTCAGTAAGGAATTGTGTCCATAATATATATTAAAATACCCTGCAAACTCAATGAGAAAACAACTCAATTTTTAAAAATGGACCAAAGACTTGAACACTTTACCAAAGACTATATACAGATGGTAATAAACCCATGGAAAGATGTTCAGCATCATTAGTTGTTAGGGAAACACAAAACCACAATGAGATACCCACACACCTATTAGAATGGCCGTAATTTAAGACTGACCATAAAGAGCGTTGGCAAGTGTGTGCGGCCACCGGACCCTGCGCCCTGCTGGTGGAGTGGAGAGTGGTACCGCCAGCGCAGAAAGCCACTTACGAAAACTAAACGTGCACCTGCCGTGTGATCCAGCCAGTTCTCTCACAGGTGTGTGCCCTAGAGAAAGAAAAACATAAAGCCACACAAAGATGCATACATGGAGTTCACAGCAGCTTCGTTTGTAATCACAAAAAATTGGAGAGAGCCCAGTGTCCATCAGCAGGTGGCGGGAAAGCAGATCGAGGCGTTCTCACCATGGAGCACGACTCAGCATGAGAGGAGTGAGCCATCGGTACAACGCAGATGGATCCCAGGACGGTTAACTACACCGTGTGGAAGAAGTCAGACTGGGAAAGAGCACGACTCCACTTACGCTCGTTCTGGGGCACGTAAACCCGTCCGCGTGGCTGCAGGGACCTGCTACGAAGGGCACGAGGAAACTTGTGGATTGATGGGTCTGTTCGTCATCTTGATTGTGGTGATAGTTTCACGGGTATGTACACGTGTCGGAACCTGTCAAATTACACACTTTAAATATGTGTGCCTTCTCGTAAGTCAGTTACACTCTGCAAAACTCACAGGACAGTAGCAGAAGGGCATGGCGTACAACCTTCAGGACTAAAATTGGATAGTATGCGTAAAATTTTTAATGTGAAAACTTTTGATGTAGCAATTTTACAGATTCTAGAATTTATCCTATGAAAGTAATCAAGTGTTGCACAAAGATACATGTGCAAAGCTGTGAGTTACATAGTTATTTGTAATGGAAAAATTGAAAATTCCATTGGTCCAGGACAAATTCTGTTTTTGTTTAAACAAGCACAGAAAACCAATTCTTGTGCAGAGTCTCGAACACAGTTGACAGAGAGACAGTGCCAGCTCTTGGCACTCTCTGAAAGGCGCACGAGGTTCCGTGGAGAGCAGTGAGGGTGGGCCATGCCTGAGGTAGGTCGGCCTTGAAAGCAGGAAGGATGTACCAAGGGAAGACATGTTAGTGAGATAAAATATCGTCAACGGAAAAGAAGAAAAACTCTGTGAAATAGTTTAAGGAGGTTTATTCTGAGCCAAACTTGAGGACCATGGGCCGGAGCCATGCCCAAGAAGCCTTGAGCAAGTGGACTCACTGTGGCTGGGTTATAGTTTGGTTTTATACATTTTGGGGAGACAGGAATTACAGTTAAAGTCATAAATCAATACATGGAAGGCACACATTGGTTTGGCCAAAAAAGGCGAAACATCTCAAAGCGGGGGCTTACATGTCACAGTTGGGTTTAGGGACCCTTTAGTTGATAATTGGCTGAAAGAGTTAGTCTTTGCCCACAGACCAGGAATCAGCAGAAAGGAATGCTTGCTTTGAGATAGGGTCTTCTGTCTTTTATGTGATGCTATACTGGAATCAGATCAGGAAGTAAACCGCATCATAAAAACCTGTTTACTGAGATGTTATCATTTGTAGGTGTGACTCCCCAGGCTCCCTTGGAATTTTTTAGGGAAAGAAAAAGATCAGAGTTCAGTCCTCAATATAGTCCTTTGTTTTGGTTTCATCATCACAAAATGTAGTTTATTTATGTTTAAAAGTGAGTTCAAAATAGAAGCCTAACCCTTTTTAGCAGATTTTAAAATTCTCATTATATTTCAAAGGATCTCACCTGCGACCCATCCATAGAGGTGTTAAGAACATATACTTAAGTAGAACACCGTAGTAGATGTTTACGTTTGCTCTTTAAGCCAGTGTAAACACAAAGCTGGTTTTTTAACCATTTTTCTGCGTGATAATTTCTAGAATAGGAAAACCACGAAGGACCAAACTAAACACGGAAGGAAGGAGAAGTGTGTCCATGCCAAGGACCTGCCAGGGGTGGTGGCCTTGGCCGCAGAGACAAGTGACCTGGGTATGTGTGTGTGAGGCTCGGACAGGAGCAACCCGAGAATCGTGCCTGGGCATGTCTGGGGGCCCCTTGGCCAAGAGGGGGTCCTTTCAGTCAGCTGGGGGGCTTCAGATTGTATTTTAGTTCACAAGAAAGATGCTGTCACGCGGAAGTACGAACAGTCAAGGAGAGAGGCGTGGTCTCGCCTCGGCCGGAGGCCAAGTGGAGACTCAGTGTTTTGGGTTAGATGCTTTAAAAAGACTTAGATTATGGATTATTTTTGCCATGTGCTCTTTTAAGATGTGAAAATTCTAAAATCATGTCTCTAGTGCACATACAAGGGAGCAGAGAAAATCGGCCTATTTTTCCCTCTCAGAAAGCTAAGTCAGTTTTCTGACTCTGCTCGATGAAATGCAGACAGATCATCAGAGGGAGCACGAGGTGCTCTTGCCGGGTCCCTGTCACGCTGGAGAGACGCTCCCCATCTCGCTTCTGTTTCGGCCTCTAGCGCAGTCTGTGCCAATGCCCGGCCTGGGAGAGGGTGTGTCCGCAGCTGCTCGGAGCCGTTTGACTCTAAGCGAGACCGTGTCTCCACTTTGAACACAGCAGGTGAAATTCCGACCCCTATAGCAAGAGAGCAGGAATTCTTCAATCCACTGCTGAATGAAAACCAGCAGTTGGCGGTTAGACGGATTCTCAGTGGCGACTGCCGCCCGCTCCCCTATGTTCTCTTTGGACCTCCTGGGACAGGAAAGACGGTGACGATAATCGAGGCCGTCCTGCAGGTGAGGCTGCTCCCGTCTGTGTCTTCAGGAAGTGAGTTTAAATAGTGGACTCAGAAGTTGTGAAGAGCTTCAGAAATCTCTGTGATTTCATAATACTTAGTTAAGTTTTATGTATGTAGGATTTTAAAAGTTTATTTTATAGGTTTTGAAAGAAACTTTGTTTTTAGAGTAGTAAACTATTTGATCCCATCATGAAATTTTGCCACAGAGAAGTTACACAGTAACTGAGTAAAGCGACCATTCTACGGAAGTTTCTGACATCTCCACGTGTATTTGAAATGTGTGAAAATGGTGTGCACAGGTGCTCCTCGACTCACAGCGGGTGATCAGGATGTTGTCCTGCCGCACGTCAAGGAGCACCCTGAACGTGTGCACCTGTGCCCTGTCGCAGAGTCAGAATGTCGTAAGTTGAGCCATGTAGGTCAGAGACCCGTGTTCCGTGTTCGTGTGTCATTCGGATTAGCAGGCAGTGAGTGCCTCCGTGCTGTGCTGCAGGCCGATGCGAGAGAATGAGTCTGACTCGGATTCTGCCTTAGAAAGTGGCTTAGAGTCTTGGAGAGCTCAGAGAGCTTGGCCACTGAGGCTCAGATGTCGCAGCAGCACCATGAGGCCGACTGTCACTTTCACGTCACTTGGGCCCGCGCCTCAGAGGTGTCAGGGATTAACGCCTGCGTCCACATTGCTGAGTCCCTACACTGGAGCCTGTGTGTGTGGGTGTCAGACTCACGGTTTCCACGCTGCAGGGTGGATATTTACGATCCTTGGTCTCTTTTGTGTCTTGGATAAAGGTACATTTTGCTTTGCCAGACAGTCGGATTTTGGTCTGCACACCCTCTAACAGCGCCGCTGACCTCGTGTGTTTGCGGCTGCACGAGAGCAAGGTGCTGAGGCCAGCGGCCATGGTCCGGGTGAACGCCACCTGCAGGTTTGAGGAGGTGAGCCCGGGTATGAGGGCGGGCGGGGTCCCCAGGACCTCCCTGGAGAGCAGCACAAGCCGAGAGTCGCCACTGAGGGTGGTTGAGAAAGTTCCGTGCTGTGTGTAGCATTTCGTTACAGCTCATGCTTCCCGTGTAGGTTATCAATCCTGTTGTGGGCCTTTTAAGCTTTGTTAAATTCTCATGTTCCTCTTTTATTTGATCCCTAAATGTATTGTTTCTTTTTAGTTCATTTTATTGGTTTGGTTATAAGTATTCCTTTAGGGAAATTAGAAGTTTCTGATTTTCTTATAAAGTATTGTTTTTAAAAAGAAATTAAATCTAGAAAATGTATGAAGTTGTTTTCACAAAGAGTCTGCAGGATTACATGTTATATGCATGGCTCTAGAGTCCACAAAACATGGACTGAATCAATATGGAAATATAAAATATTTTAATTTAAAATCTTAAATCGTTGCTTAGTCGTAACTAAGAAATGGCAAGAGGGCATTATCTTTTAGAATTCCTTTCAGCTTCATGATTCTGTCCAATTTAAAGAAATACTGAATTTGAAAAGAAACCTGATTCCACCCCCATTGTCCCCAGACAATCATTGACGCCATCAAACCGTATTGCAAAGACGGAGAAGATATCTGGAAAGCTTCACGCTTCCGGGTAATAATTACAACATGCAGCAGCGCAGGGCTTTTCTACCAGATAGGAGTAAGGTGAGTGTCTCGGCATCAAGTGGGGCGCCGGGTCTCCCAGGACAGGTCTGTGTCCCCTTCAGGCTTCTGTCTGAGGGAGGCTCTGACACAGACCCTGGAGGACGGAGCAGGGCCCTGGGGAGAGTGGCTGGGAGGGGTGGCCACAGTGGAACCAGGCCAGGGAAGTGGTGTATATGCTGAGACCCCCAAAGACTCAAAGGACCCACCATTGGGATGGGCAAGCAGATGGACTCGTGTGTGCAAAGGTCCTGTGGCTTGGGAGCCCTGAGTACGTTACCCCAGAGGAAGCTGCAGAGCTGCAGCCTATTGAGCGAGATCGGCAGGGGAGGCCTGGCGCCCACAGCTGCTGGTGGTGGAGAGGCCTTTGGACTTGACCCCTGGTTAGGTTGGAGGCCTATGGACTTGACCCCTGGTTAGGTTGGAGGCCATCGAAAGGCTTCTGAGCAGCGGTGAGTCATGAGGGGTGCTGCAGTGGGTAGACACGCCCTGGAGGCTGGGGGCAGGACTGCACACCCAGGGGTGCTGCTCGGGGAGCAAGGCACTCTCAGACCCCTGGGGCGAGGTAGGGCAGGAGGCTGCAAGCAGCACCCCCAGTGACTGAGCACCAGGCAGTGTGGGGCAGGCTGAGGGCGGGAGGGAGCAGCAGGGTCCTCAGAGGAGAGCCTTGCCCTCTCTGGCAGCCCAGAGACGACCCCAGCAGCTTCTGGCTGGGCCACCTCAGAGCAGTGTCCGGCGGCAGTGTTGTGAAGGTGACCACCAGAGGCCAGGCCTCCCAGGGCCCCCTGCTGCCCTGCAGCCCCTGCCTGTGTCTGCTGTGGGCGCCACATGTCCACCAGCACCACACGGACCCCAGGCCAACAGCACTGCCCAGGAGCAGAGCGCAGCCACCACGCCTGTCCCTTATGTTAGGAATGACTCTCGTATATACAGGATGCCATTTCATTATGTAATTAGTGACGACTGATGAGACATTTGCTTCTTTTTTTGGTTCCAGTCTTCAACATCCGGCATGTGTTTTACACAGGGAGCAGGTTCATTTCAGACTAGCCACCCTGAGGTGCCCAAGAGCCACAGGCGGCGTGGCTGCTGGACTGGCCCCCACAGGTCTAAACACGAGAGAGGTTTTGTGTTAACACGTGTTGATGAGTCCAGGGTCAGAGCCTCAGATGAAGAAACTCCCAGCAAGAACACACTGGCTGCCTCTGTCTTAGGGCCAAAGCTTGTTGGCGGAGAGGGATCTGCGCAGGGCGGGGCTGGCAGGTGCATGCTGCGGACGCTGCTCCCGAGGGGCCAGCCAGGGCAGGCCGCTGCCGGAGAAGCCGCGTGCAGGAGCCGAGGGGGGAGGCGCAGGCGTCCCCAGCAGGAGGGGCCTTCGGGGCCAGTGAGGAGCTTTAGAGCAGGAGCAGTGCCGTAGGGTAGCAGTGACGTTAAACAAGTGCGGTCAGTGCGGGATTCAGAGCTCAAACGCGGACGTTCTAGGAAAGATACATGATGCTGGTTTTTTTCAACAGAAGTTGGGACACGAGGTGGGAATGGCTGATACCCTCATCTTTCTCGGAAGAGGGGGTTAATGGGTATCACGTGTGAAGTTGCTGTCTTGAGACTTAGAAATCCAGGCTGCGCTGCAGGTGCAAACTCACCAGAGTGGAAGCAGGAACGTGTCTGCCCACAGGGTCCTGTCTCATCTGGGGACACCAGGCGCGGAGGCGGCACCATTTGCGCAGCGTCTGGGGTTGGGGGGAGACGCAGGCTCAGCAGCCAGGTGGGCCCAGGCGTGTTCTCTGCTCGGAATCTGCTTCACCAGGCACTAGGGTGCCTCCTCAGGTGGTGCTGCCTCACACGGCTTTGCCGAGGTCTGCTGAGAGGGCCGGCCCGGCGCTGTCCCCTGGGCTCCCGGCGCCTCGGCCTGCTGGCGCAGAGGGCAGGGCAGTGCCCAGCTGAGAGCAGCGCGTGAGGCAGAGTCGGGGAAGGGGCCCCGAGGGCCCTGTCTGTGACCACCGACCAGCCAGTGCACACCGTGCTCTCATCGGCCACATCCCACATGACATGGGGGAAATGGAGGCACAGAGAGGTGAAGCAACCTCCCCAGGGTCACACAGCAAGGAAGTGGTGAAGCCAAGACCCAAATCTGGGCATTTTGATTAATCTCTAGAAATCCGACTTGGAGGGAAGAGTGTGCCGGAAACCTGCCCCAAAAGCTGCCCTGGGAGGCACTTTGTGCTTTGCTCATACCTGCCCCTCACCCCTCTTTTTTTCCAAATCTTGATAAGCAAACACACGTTGCTTACAGAGCAGTGGTGGCTGGTGTGGGCAGCTCATGTCGCCTGACAGGCCTGTCGCACGTGAGGCCTGGTGACACCCAGACCCCCTGGCAGCCCCACTGGGACCCGCTGGTGCCCGGCTCGGCCCCGCCACTGGGCAGTCGGCAGAGATCACCACTGGGGACCTCTTTGGCTCTAGAGTCGGACACTTCACCCACGTGTTTGTGGACGAGGCCGGGCAGGCGAGCGAACCCGAGTGCCTCATTCCTCTGGGGCTGATTTCAGATGTCAGCGGCCAGGTGAGGCCTGTCAGCTGTTTGCTGTGCGCGCTGTTCCCTTCTTTCCCTGTGTTCCCGCAGGGATGGGATGCCAGGGCCCTGTCAGGGACAGTTGTGGCCTTACAGGGGTCAGGCGAAAGTGCCAAAGACCCCCACCCCCAGGAGCTGGAGGCCGTGGCTCTGTCACTCAGTCACGTACTTTATTCCTTTTGCACTAGAAGGAGAGGGGCAGCTTTGTCTTGACTCACTCACTTGTAAAACAGAAGTTAAGAGCCCTTCTAGGTATTGGGGACCCACCAACTCTGCTTTCATGAAGGCGAGGTCCCCTCTCCTTTCCTGGTCCCACCTGCTTCCTCCTGGGGAACCTCCAGTCACAACTCTGGTGCCATCTAAACTCCCCCGTCCCTCACTGCGCACTCAGGCACCTGGGGCACCTGCTGCTCCTGAGCCCCTGTCCTCAGAAGCCCACCTGGGGGCCCAGCACCCCTGTGCAGGCCGCCAGGCGCTGTGAGGCCAAGTGCAAGGGAGGGGAGGGGCCGTGGGAGGGAACAAGGGTCTGTCCAGCTGAGACAGGTGGGCAGCGTGAGGAAGCTGAGCCCCAGGGCGAAAGGCCAGGGGTTCTGCCGGGGCTGGGCGTACAGAAACTCCCAGAAGACAGGCCGAATCCGGGGACTCTTACCACTTTGGGAGATCAGGAGAGAAGCCGAGGCTGCAGGTGTGGGACAGACGCAGGACACCAGTGATGGCGGTAGGAGCTGCTCTGTGAGGGAGCTCCTGTCTCAAGCCCGTTTGTTTTTTCCTGCATTTCTGCTGCCCTTGTCTGGGGTGTTGTCATCTTGCATGAGCAGTTCTGGCTGCGTCCTCCCTGGTCTCCCACCCTCTTCCCCAGTCCCCTGTAGGCAGAGCGACCTTCTGCAGGCCCGGCCGTGCTGCACCCCACTGCTCCCCACCACGCGTGTGACCCGTATCCCGCAAGAGCTGAGCCGCCCTTTGTGCGCCGCAGATCGTGCTTGCTGGAGACCCCATGCAGCTCGGCCCCGTCATCAAGTCCAGACTGGCCATGGCCTACGGGCTGAACGTGTCCATGCTGGAGAGGCTGATGTCTCGACCCGTGTATCTGAGGGACGAAAATGCTTTTGGTGCTTGTGGCGCATACAACCCCCTGTTGGTGAGTTCACAGGCCCTTTATTGTGTCAAGTAAAACCTGCAGGAAGAGGTGCTCACCCCCCTCTGTCCACCGGAGCCCTGCCCTGGGCAGAGAGTACAGGTGAGGGGTCTTCCTGCTCCCAGCACAAAGGCCGCCTCCCCCAGCCTCCTCCCTGGGAAGGGGCTCCCTGAGAAGCCTGGCAGCAGGAACATCACAAAAACGTGCAAAAAGTCGGAGTAGCTCCTCCCTCCCAGATGGGTTTCAGGCACTTCTAACCTGCCCTCCTGTCCCAGGAACTGAGAAATGTGCTTCCTTGGGGTCCCCTGTGGGGTCCAGGAATCCCAGGAGGTCTGGCTGTTGTCCGAGACTCTGTAGGCCTAGGGACGGTAAGAGAAGTTAAATCTGTGTTACTCTGTTGACTTGGGGAAAATGGGAACTAACTTTGGTAACTTTGCCCAGAAGCGAGAGTGTTCATCACAGCACAGGGCTGGGTGCTCAGCCGACTGCGGACTTTGGAGTCAGCGTCTTTGGGGCCCCCAGCACACTGCGCGTTGGCCCATGGGGTCCTGCACTTAGCCATGAGCCCAGTGGCCATGTTCTCCAAACCCCTGCGATGCTCACGAAGGAGGCATTTCCATCAGCCTCACACTGGGGTTAACACTGACCAGGAGGTGAGGTGCAGTGACTATGGGCAGATTTTCAGGGAGGAGGATTGGAACCTAGCCTCATTTGCCAGCAGTAGGGGCTGAGAGTCTTCAGGCTGAGGAAGGCCTCATGTGGGACCACCCCAAGAACAGACAGTGGCCGTGAACAATGGCTGGGCACAGAGGCACCCAAGAGATCTGCTGCTGCAGGAGGTTCATTTCACGCTCCAGATACCCCTGTGCCCCTGAGACCTGCCAGCCGCTTCTCTGAGGGGAGGTGCCGCCCTCGAGACACGGAGGAGCTGACGTGCCACCCAGCCACGACAGAAGGCCAGTGCGCCGCCACCTCCGCCCTACCCGGACCTTCAGGGCACACGCTCAGCATGTGGCCACAGTGCAGGCAGACCCCTGCCTGCACACAGGAGATGAAGGCTTTGCCCTGCTTTGTGACCTCACCTCCCGCCCTTCTCCCAGACTGGCTTTAAGCTACGGGGACCCCGGGGCAGCAAACAGGCATCCTTCCCCCTTCCCATTGCCAGCCCTTGTCCAACTAAAGCAGAGCTGCTGTGACACGAGATCACGTTTGGAGTTTGAGTAGCACTTCGGAAGCTAGACATGTTCTAATCACTGAGTTAAGTTTGATCCTCAAGTCAGAAGTCTGGGGCCTATCGGTGTTCTCACGCCGGGACCAAGGGAAGAACCCTGCGCTGAGTGCACATCCCAGACCGGTTGGAGGCAAACAGTAAAGCCGTTCCACGTACTGGTGGCGTCCATCAGTGCGGTCACAGTTAGGCCTGCGCAGGGCTAGCGGAGCCCTCGAGGTCACTAGATCCATGAGCCTGGGAGCTATTCCTTCCCTGCATCGGAGCTGAGACAAGGCTCACGGGGCTTTGTTTAAAGGCCAGGGTAGCAAGACGGCCAGTCCAGAGCAAAGCTTGTGGCGTGCAAGGGAGGCTCTGCCTGCCTCCGGCCTGCCGAGTTCCAGCTGCCCTTGGAGAGACTCTTTGGCTTCACCCAAACACAGGAGAAGAAAGAGAGGCGATCTCCTCTCTGTTCCTGATGTTCATGTTTTCTACTAAAATGAACCTTCGGTTCAGTAGTCCCCTGAGGGGCCTGGTCTGGTGGCAGGTGGCACTTGTGGGCTCACTGGGCACGGGGAGGCTGCCCTCGGGTGGAGAGTGGGTGGGTCTCGCATCTGCCACACAGACCTCTCTCCCTCGAAAGAAGCAGTCTGTGTGCTCATTCGCCTGTGACCCTTGCCTGTCCTCTCCTACAGGTCACAAAGCTCGTGAAGAACTACAGATCCCACGCTGCTCTGCTGGCGCTGCCCTCGCGGCTGTTCTATCACAGGGAGCTTGAAGTGTGTGCAGACCCCAAAGTGGTGACCTCTCTACTGGGCTGGGAGAAATTACCGAAGAAAGGCTTCCCTCTCATCTTCCATGGCGTGAGAGTGAGTTGTGTTTTGAACTGTTAAGTGACTTGGCTCTGTGTGCCACGTGGGGATAGCGCGGTAGGAGGTCGTTCGTCTCAGGCGAGTGCCTCGTGCACACATGTGCGAGTCTTGCCTGATGGAGTCAGTCGCCGGGTGTTCCCCGAGTGCCTGTGGGGGCAGATGCCGCAGGTCTCTAGAGAGTGGAGCACGGTCAGAGGGCTTGTGCCCCTCAAGCCCATGTACCAACACCTCCTGCCAGGTGAGTCACACACACAAAGGGCCCAGGAGTGGTGGGTGCCTAGCACAGAGCAGGCGTCACAGGCGCTGTTCCTCAGCGCTCGTGTCAGACGAGCACTGGGTGGCACAAGGAGAGAACCAGGCCAGCAGAGCTCCTGCAGGTGTTGAGGGTTCGGGGGTGAGCTAGGAGGCAGGACCCAGGGAGCTGAGCAGCAGGATGCACACCAACCACAGGCAGCACCACTGCCCACTGCTGGGCCATCTCCCCAAGGACAGCGTGTCCGAGTGGCCGGCAGGACAGGCAGGCAGCACAGGCTTCACCAAGTTCAGGACTAGCCTGGGCAACATAGACACCCTGTCTCTACAAAAATTTTTAAAATTAGCTGGGTGTGGTGACGTGTAATTGTCCCAGCTACTCGGAGGCTGAGGCAAGAGGATCACTTGAGCCCAGGAGCTTGAGGCTCTAGTGAGCTATGATTGCACCACTGCACTCCAGCCTGGTGACAGAGTGAGACCCTGGCTCTTAAAAAACAAAAAAGAAATCATAGTAAAGGGAATCCCTCGAAATGAGAAATGGGCCTAATGAGACAAACCAGATCATCTAGAACAGACTGCAGAGCTTGACTTGAGTGCGTGAGGTGCGGCTGGTGTATTCGCGAGTGGGGAGAGGAGTGTGTACGGACGTCAGTTCTCCCACATTAATCATGTCTTCAGCGCAATCTAAGTAAGAATCACAATGGCTTTTTCATGGGAAAATGATTACAGAATGGAGTTGTAACTGTGCACAAAGTTTTATAACAGAAAAAGGAGTTACCTAGTCCACAAGACAACAAAACATACTAGAGAGTTATAGTAAATAAAAGTATACAGTATAAAAGCAATAAATTGTTGACCAAAAAAAGACATAAGTTGGTGGAACAAAGCGCCCAGGAACATTAACTAACTTGGTGTTTTCCAAGTGCTTGATCACGTACGAGGCTCCGGGCTGGCCCCTGAGGATAAAGTGGGCTCTAGGGCCGCGGGTCCCACGGCTTCCTCAAGGCTCAGCTTCAGAGAGCATGGCCCCCGCTGTTTGGGCAGAGAGGGCCTCACCCAGGACCTGGTGCCCGTGCTCGCCCTCCACCCCTCCACCCCTCGGGTCTGCTCCAGCACCCCTCCCCGAGCGTGGCCCACTCCCCACCTTGTGGGCAGCAGTTCCTGGGAGGCTCTAGAGGGACCTGTGCACTGACGACTATGCCCACCCGTGCCTCAAGGTCCCGATAGGACGCCCAGGATGGCCCACCCAGGCAGCTGTGGCCTTGCCACCGTGAGGCGGGCACTGCAGACAGGGCCCTTGGTCTCAGGCTTCTTTTAAGCTGAACAGGCAGGACGGCCCTGGCAGAGTCAATAAGCAGTGCTGCCTGGTCCTTGCGGAAAAGATGCGCCGGCCTCTGGCTCCCCCATGTTTCCTGTCTTCTGCTTCATCGTTTTCAGCTTTATCTTTAACTCCTCATCCCGACTCACCTTGTTGACGTCTCTCCGCTTTCCTTGCTGTGTTAAACTCCCTGCAGGTGAGCAGTTAGTCCACGTCCTCACTCCCACCGTGCGCTGCACACACCTTCCCCGCTCCCCGGACAGCGGGACTTTCTCTTGATTCTTTTTTGATTCAAGAGTGATACAGAAGTTTTTTCTTAATTTTCAAGTAGCAAAGAAATTTTTGGTCACCTCTTTCTCTGTTCCTAATTTTATTAGGTTCTGGTTGAGGATTTTGGCCTGTAAACTCAAGTTACTGCCTTTAAAAATTTGTGGCAATTAGGTGTCAGTTTGCTAGGTGCTGAGGGCACACCAGAAACGTTACATCCCTGTCTCAGGGATGTGAGGTGTCCTTCGCGTGGGCACCGAGCTCAGCTCCCCGCGTCCTGACCTGGACTCCGTCCGTGAGGTGCACCCTCGTGGCGAAGGCCGTGACGTCTCGCATTGCAGTTGTGCTTTTCCTCAAATTCTCTTAGGATTTCTAACCTTTCTTGCCTTTCGTATTTAACTGCTGTGTTTCATGCGTACAACTGATTGTCTCGTCTTCCTCACTAACGTCCTTCTGTACTTTATGTTTCAGCATTAAATTCCGTCTGTGGTATGAGCATCGCCACTTCTTTCTTCATACCTGGCATTTCCTCACCCTCCGTTTTCGTTTTTTGTCCTTTCGTCTTAGTTGTCATTCTTAGAAGCAGAATCCAATTTGAGAGTCGCTACTTTTAACACACTGACCGCCACACTAGAAAAAAATTTTTTCCTTGGGGCCACGGCGTTTTATTGTGAAAATAGAATAAAAACTTCAAAAACAAAATGATCCTTTCTAATTTAATGAAAAATTTGTTATTCTTTATTGTTTTCTATGCATGCATTATATGCAGCTGTCAATGTTGATTGTGACAATAGGAATATCAACAAGGTTTTCACAAACCAACTGCAGGGTTTTGCCCAGGGGTCCATCCATCACGCAACACGTATGCTGCAGCGTGGCACATGAGTTGCCTGTGCACCACGCTGCTCCCAAGGTAAAGAGACCTCTAAGTTACATACACTTCACGAGGCCCCAGGCTCAAAACCAGCATGAGTTAAGTACAACTCACATAGCAGTTAATGTGTTGATGAGATACATCAGCCCAGTCTGGTTACTCAATTTCATTCCTTCATCTTTTCCCTGCGACCTATTGTGTTTCCTCTTTCTCCTTATTTTTTCTAGTTGATTGGTTGCACATCATTGAATTTTTTTCTCGTCAATTTAGAAGTTCTGCTATAAGTTTCCATTTCATTAAGCTTTTTTTTAAAGGCACTTCAATCATTTATTATAAATCTAAAGGGATAAAGTATATATGGCTTAACGACAATGAAACATCCTGAAAATCAGTAAATTGTTACTACTTTATCTGATGTTTGCTTTTTTTTAAATTGTGGTAAAGCTCATATAACATAAAACTGATATTAACCATTTTTAAGTGAAAAGTATTAAATATATTCACATTGTTTTGCAGTCAATCTCCAGAACGTTTTTATCTTGCAAAATTGAAATTTTGTACCCGTAAAACAATAACTTCCCTCCCCCCAGCCCTTGGCAGCCACCATTCTACTTTCTGTCTCTGAGACTCTGACGGCTCCAGGGACCTCCCGTAAGTGGAATCACACAGCCTTTGTCCTTTGCGTCTGGCTTATTTCACTTAGTACGTGGTCCTCAAAGTTCATCTGTGTTGTAGGGTGTATCAGAATTTCCTTCCTTTTAAATGCTGAATAATAATTCCAGTGCCTGGGCTGGGCACAATGACTCACACCTGTAATCCCAGCACTTTCAGAGGCTAAGGTGGGAGGATCGCTCGAGGCCAGGAGTTCAAGACCAACCTGGGCAACATAGTGAGACCCCCGTCTCCACAAAAAAACGTTTTAAAAAAATTAGCCCCAGCTACTCAGGAGGCTGAGGCAGGAGGATCGCCTGAGCCCAGGATTATTTTTTTTGTCAATGAGTTTTAAGAGTTCCTCATGTATTTTGGATATCAACTCCTTATATACAATTCACAAATGTTTTCTCCCATTTCATAGGTTATCTTTTTATTCTGTTGATTATATCCTTTGCATGGAAATTTTTTAATTTTGACGTAGTCTTTTTTTGCTGTTGCCTGTGGCTTTGGTTCATACCCAAGAATCGTTGCCAAATCCAGCGTTGGGGAGCTTTCCCCGTGTGTTTTCTTCTAAGAGTTCCATGGGCGTAGGTGTTTTGGGTCTCTGGTCCATTTTGAATTAATTTTCGTATGTGGCGTACGGTGTGAGTTCATTTTCATTCTCCTACACTCAGATATCCAGTTTTCCCAACACCATTAGTTGAAAAACTGTTTTCCCCATTGATTGGTCCTGGAACCCTTGTCACAAATCATTTGACCACACACACGAGAGTTTACTTCTGGGCTCTCTGTTGTGTTCTGTTGGCCTGCTTGTCTGTCTTTGGCAGTACATCCCACTGATCTTTAAGGAAGAGCGTTTTCAAGATGAGCAGGACCCTCTGTTCCCAAACAGGAACGCTCCAGGACGGTAAAAGGTGCTTCAGGGGTAGCCGAGGGTGAGCTGGCGGGGCGAGAGTCGGGGCGAGTGGGGAGCACCTGGCCTGCGACAGCCTCGCTGCAGCTGCCGTGGACTGACCGTGGCCGGCGGCCTCCTCGTCAGGCTGTGCCATCTGCTCTCACCCCAGCTCCCTGGGCTCTGGCGTGCTGGCGCTCTTTCCCTGGCCTGGCGTGCTGTGATCCCGCCGTGTCAGGCCCTGCAGGCCCTCCCGGCACACACCCTGCCCTTTGCCAGGCAGTCCCTGCACACCCTTGGCGCAGCACAAGCCCGGCCTCCACAAAGGAGCTTCCCTTGGCGTCCTGTCCTGTGTGTCAGTCCCTGCGTGACGGGTCCCTGTAGCCAGTCCTCCTCCTTCATAGCCTTTGACATGGTTGCGAGTGACTTCCCAGCTCGGTGACGATGCGATGACATCTGCCCTGCTGGGATATAAAGTCTGCACTAGAGCAGGGCTCTCCGCCACATTCCTCCTGTGTTCTCAGCACCTACTTCAGCTCCTTGGCCGTGGCCCATGCAGACGTTCCTAGCGTAGTGACGTGTTCTCTCCTGATTCCCTCAGGGTAACGAGGCTCGAGAAGGGAGAAGCCCGTCGTGGTTCAACCCCGCGGAGGCTGTCCAGGCCATGCGCTATTGCTGCCTCCTGGCGAGGAGCGTCTCCAGCCAGGTGTCTGCCGGCGACATCGGGGTCATCACGCCCTACCGAAAGCAGGTACTCTCGCTCAGGCAGCCTCGCTCTGTGAGGTCCCTGTGGCCCTCCTCAGTCCCCGGAGTCCGTGGGAAGCAGGGACAGGCTCGCTGTGGAGACAGCAGGGTTTCGAAGAAGCAGAACCACACGCGAGAGATGCTCCGAGTGAGAGGTCGGCAAACTGCAGCCCACTGGCCGGTTCCAGCCAGCTGCCTGCTGTTCTACAGCCCAGAGCCTAGAATGGCTTTTGTGTTTCTAAACGGTTGCATTTTAGAAGTCTGTATAAGGATTACATAATGTCCTTGATGTTTGGCCTTTAAGAAAAAGTTGCCAATCCCGGCTCTAAACCAGTCTCTCAGTTGGGGCACTGTTGCTGTTCTTGAAGGGGACGGTTCTCATTTCGTACGATTCTGTCATGTAATCAGAGGCCATCAGCATCCCCGGCCCCCAGGTGCTGGTCCCAGTAACACTCACCAGTTGTTGGACAACCAGGAACTACACACACTCACTCACAGTCGCCCTGGAGTTGTGCTGGGGTGCAGGTGCCTTCTGTGCCAGACAGATGGATTTCAGTTGTGGAGCGTTCGCCCCTGGGGTGTGCGTAGCACCAACAAGGTAGGAGGAAAGGTTGAGCCCACAGGCAGTCACGGTAACAGGAAGCCTTCACTGAGCCCTTCAAACACATTGTTTTCTTTCTCTGAACTTGGGCCCTCACGAGGCGAGCACTCGGTTCTCCCAGTGGTAGAGAGGTGCCTACAAGGCCTCAGGAGGCGAGGAATTTGCTGAGTGTCACTTGGCTGTTATAACTGGGTTTGAGCCAAATTCAAACCCAGAGCCCCATCTCTTGACCGTTAGGTTGTGGGCAGCTTGCTACGCAGCCTGTCCCCACCTGCGATGCGGAGCACATGTGCCCAGCACCAGCTGTGTGTCCCGGGCGTGTCCTGCACACCTGCTGGGCTGCCGCTGAGTGCAGACATACTTACGCTCCTAATTACTACTTAGTCTTGCATGTTTGTCTCCCATCTAAGTCACCAATGTACCTCTCTTGATTCTCTTGCTGCTTTTTTTCCCGAGGTGGTAAATATTGTAAGAAATCCTTTCAGAGGGAAATGAGTGAAGAAAATTAATTGTTGGCCTATGAGATCAAAGAAGTTACTGTTGTGTTATTTCAGACTGAAGGCCTTCCTTGGATATTTCCCCTAAATCCACTAGCAATCCGGGTTTAATTTAGGGATGTCTTTCTTTGACCTTTTTGAAGAGTAGTTTTGCTGGCTGTGGGACTCTTGGTCAGCGTTTATTTTGTTGTTCTTTCAGCATTTTCGAGCATATCACCGCCCGCTTCCTGGGTGCTGAGGTTCGGATGAGAAGCAGCCCTTCTCCCGTGGGACAAGCTGTCTTCCTCTTGCTGCCTTCAGCACTTGTCTTTGGGCCTTGGCAGTTTTCTGTGACGTGTCTGGCTGTAGATCTCTTTGTGTTTCTCTTACTTGGATTTTGTTGAGCTTCTCAGATGTGTAGATTAATGTTTTTCATCAAATTTAGGAACTTTTTGGCCATATTTCTTCACATTTTTTTCTGGGGTACAGCAGCTGTCCTTCTGAAACTGTCCTTCGTGTGTCAGGTTGCTGGGTAGCTGGACACTGTCCCACAGGTGTTTGTTCATTTTTCTCCAATCTTCTGTTTTCAAAGTTCACCTTTTTCCCTTGCCATTTTGCATCTGCTGTGGAGCCCTTCTCGTGAACTTTGGTTGTTAGACTTTTTAACTGTTACACTTTTCTTCCATTTTTTAATAGTTTCCTTTAGCTCTTTGGACATATTTGTAGTAGCTTCTTCTTGAGGTGCTCACAGTCTCGGCAGTGTTTCCGAGGGCTTCCCTGCTCACCCTTACCATTCCCGGCCACCTTGGCCTAGTGGGTCTCTCCACTAATCTGCGATTTTTCTCAAGGACTGGCTGGGACTCTGCCCAGCACACAGCACAGAAGCCAGTGCCCAGTAGGCCTGCAAGTTCCTTAAATGAGCAAGTCACTCGTCTGCCCAGACAGGCTGAGCAGTCAACAGGTGGTGAAGTCAGGTCTTCAGTGGGCAGGAAGGAGGTCGCCTGGGAGCCGCCAGCGCAGCAGCAGGGAGTGGCCTGTGCACAGGGAGCCCTTCCTGTGCTCCCGTCACGTCACTCACCCCTTCCTCCTCTCATCTCCTGCAGGGCCCCACTGGCCTGCTCCGCACCGAGTCCTGGTGTTTGGAAGGAGCGCAGTCCCTCGTAGCGCTCTGGTGTGTGACTCGCAGGAAGGCGCCCAGGGTCTACGGGGTGGGGTGTGGAGCCACGTGCCCCATGTCTGTCCCCTCATCACAGCATCAGCCGCTGTCTGCTGCCTGCACGGCCCAGGGCGAGCTCGGTCTCTGGCCTGGGAAGGGGCTTGGGAGCCCCAGCTCTGCAGTCTGACCACGTCTGCCTGGCTCACCACTGCCCCCGCCCTCTGCCCCGGGTCCCATCAGCACGAGCCCTCCTCACGCCCACATGTCACAAGGGACACGCACAGTCAGGGCCCCTACCCCACGGCGGGAGTCCCACAAGACAGAAGAGGGGTGCGGTGGGAGATGTCCCTTGAGATGGTCGGTGACTTGAGAACCTTCCTGTGTTTACTGGCCGTTTCTTCCTGCTTCACGTCTGGTCCCGCTTCACGTTGTTCTGAGCGTGCTTTTCCTCCGCGCCTCGCGGTCGTCAGCACGCGTTCTGTATGTCAGATGC